AACCTCCTTGGGAACAGATAGATGACATAATCTTGGCACACCACACAGTGTTGGCATAACCTTTTACAGGTATATAAAATACACAGCCTGTAAGTGTAATGCTAGAGTTGGTCCTCCACTCATTCTTGGTCTCCCAAATCCCATCAGCCCTCACCAGCATAGCCACAGCTGAGGGAATAATTGGTATTGCACTCCAATAATAATAATAATAATAATAATAATAATAATAATAATAATAATAATATCCCTGACACTTCTTTCTAATGGTGAAGGTGCCATCTTTATCTGGGCAGCCACAATTGCATACCCCTGGCTTCGATCAGGGCTGCCATCCCAGCAATTTTAAATATAAGCAAGAGTTCTCAGCATTGCTACACTAGTTGCCTTATGGGTGGTGCAACATTTGCTGATGAAGGAACATTTCATTTTTCCCATTATGAATCAAGCTCAGCACTGCAGTGGCAACTTGAAAAGTGAAAGCATGCCATTTGGTTTCTTGCCTGGGGTTTGCGTCAAGATTTTGGAAAAAAGGCAGTAACTGCTGGACTTTTAAACCTCAAAGTCATGATAATAAAAGAAATATACAAAGGAAAAAATTGAAAGAAGGAGGGGAGACAGGTCATGTAGTTTCTCTTTCCACTGAATTCAAACCGGGACTCCACTCAGCAATATCTGCAAGTTTTGTGAATTTATTTAGAGTTCTACCTTTTTCCCAGAATAGAGTTTCCAAAACCATTAACATATTCAGAATAAAGAATTAAAAGTGAACAAAACAGTATAAAACATTTTGAAAACATACACAAGTTAATACAAATACATGTAATGGATGAATACTTAAAAATAGTTTGTCTATATTAGCAGCTTTTTCACTCTGCAGTTACAGCGTTATGATTTTACTTTGCAACATCCCATGCAGTTCTGGGGTTTTCAGAATTCACAGCCAGGGATGCATCTGCACTGTGAAATGAACACAGTTTGGTACCACTTAAGCTGCTATGGCTCATTGCTATGGAATCGTGGGAGCTGTAGTTTAGTGAGGTACCAGAACCCTTTGGCAGAGAAGGCTTGTGGAGCTTTAACCTGCACAATGCCATAGTAGTCAGCCAGCATAGTTAAAGTGGTGTTGACCTGCATTAATTCAACAATCTAGATGCACCCCAATAAATTCATTCTGAAATGACAATGTCCAAGATTCCACAGGATGCAGCCATGGCAGCGGACGTGGAATCATAGTGGTACAAATGTGCAGTTTTAAAAGGCTCACAGAACTGGATTCGATCAAGGCAGATATCCTTAGGAAAGAGCCTTCCATCACAGATTGCTGGGAGCAACTTGTTTCACATTTGATTTATCTATTTAATTTATGAGCCAGGTTTTGCTCATTTCAGTATTCTACTGAAATGCACACATTAATAAAGAGATGATAGGTGGCTGTATCCTCCTATATAGCTCACTGGCTGCACCTACACTGTAGAATTAATGCAGTTAAACTGCTCTGGCTCAGAGAGTTGTAGTTTGGTGTAGCACCAGCACTCTTTGGCAAAGGTGGCTAAATACCTTGTAAAACTTCCACTGCCAGGATTCCATAGCATTGAGCCATGGCAGGTAAAAGTGGTGCTTAACTGCATTAATTCTGCAATGTAGATGCACCCATTGACTACTTAAGTCTATTTTTCATACACAAGGAACTCTTTATCTCCACGTGGCTTTTAGGGAAATGATTGCATGTGAGATAGCTCTACAGGCAAGACTTCTAAAACTGGAAAGATGGGATGAAAACTGCAGGTAAATAGTTTGCTACTCAGCGTAAATAAATCCCTGAACACTAGCTCTCTCCCAGAGCAATTCAAGGCTGACACTGACATCTTGCAGAATTAAAAGCTTCCCAATGTGTCGAATACAGACCACAGCACTGCAGTACAAGAAGTAGTGGACACAAGGAGTCCCTGAGTTACAAACATCCGACTTATAAAGGGGGTCTCCACTGAAGTTTTATCACCAATCCTTGTTTACACAAGAAGCCAAATTGTACAAAATCCAATTATCACAGGGACAGAAAGTGAGGTCAAATCTTCTGAATAGGGGTACACACACACACACACACACACAAACATCATGGGGGTATTCACTCTTCCCTATGTGATCCAAAGCAAAAACATATATATTTTTGTATGGAGCTACAATTGGACAATGTACCTGTTCCAATACAAATTCAACTTAAAGACAAATCTTGTTCATAATGTGGATAATGCCTGTACATCTGAACTTACAATAAGGAACGAGGACTTATATGCTGAACAACAGAAACAAAAGAAAGCTAGTTTTACATTAGGAAGTAATCAGCAAGACATTCCAGGCTGATAAACCCCAGCGAATGGAAGAGAGGTTCCCCGGACAGCTGGGAATGTCTATAAGGGAGACTGGGAAGCTTGCTTAGCAAGGAAGCCCGTGTGCCAGGTTATTGCAGTGATCATTTCATTTCCTTTGCTGCAAATGTTGCTGCTGCTTCTTTCCCTGCTCTTCGGCCATTTCCCTCCTCCCCCTTTCCCTCTCTCATTGGAGAGCAACAGAGCGGAGATCTCCACCCGCCTCCACTCCATTTGGCGGGCACTGCACCCCTTTGCGCAGCCATTAAAGCCTGCTGCAAAACAGCGGAGGAGAAGACTCAAAACTAGAGGCAGTTCACCTGGGCACAAATTTGGAAAAAGAAAACAAATACTATCTACAACACTGGTACCAAAAGGAGTCAGTTGCCGAAGGGAAAAGCCAGCTCTGGGTGTACGTACATTGGAGAATGAATACAATTCGACACCACTTTAAGGGCCACAGCTCAGTGCTATGTAATCCTGACCTTTGGAGTTGGGTGAGGCACCAACACTCTTGAGCAGTCAAGCCGTCATCAAACTATAACTCCCAAGATTCCATAGAACTGAGGCATGGCAGCTAAAGTAGCACCAAACTGCATTCATTCTACAGAGCAGATGCACCCGCTGAAACATGGACTAACTATGCCACAAGTTTGGATAGTTTAAGGCCAGTATCTCATACCAATTTATCTGTAAGGAAGTCCCGGCTAACATGTGAATGCGTATAATATTAAACGTTAGGTCGATGGTTTTGTAAGTCCCAGCTTGATAGCCAATGCGGCTATTACTCCAGAGGCCAGGGTTCGAATCCTCACTCGGCCAAAAAAAACCCTGGGTAGCCTTGTTCCAGCCACACACTCTCAGCCACAGAGGGAAGGCAATGGCAAACCCTTTGCAAGCAAATGTTACCAAGAACAACCTGTTAGAGGCCATAAGTTAGAAAAAGAAGTCCTAGCTTACTTGTGAGTAGAAACAGGATCCCACAGAAACTTGCTGTGCAAGTCACACTCTTGGAGGGTCACACAGCCCTATATCTCAGAATATCAAGGCAGAAAATCCCACATTATCTGAGCGTGGACTCAGATAACCCAGTTCAAAGCAGGTATTGTGGAATGTTCTGGGATATGGGGTTGTGTGGAAGGGCCCCCAGCGTCAGAGGAAGGCAATCGCAAAACCTCTTCTGAACACATCTTGCTAAGGAAGCCCTGTGATAGTGTGGCTTTTTGGGTTGCTGTGTTTTCTGGGCTGTATGGCCATGTTCCAGAAGCATTCCCTCCTGACATTTTGCCCACATCTATGGCAGGCATCCTCAGAGGTTGTGAGGGCTGTTGGAAACTGGGCAAGTGGGGTTTATGTAATAGACCATAAGTCAGGGCCCTTCCACACAGCCCTATATCCCAGAATATCAAGGCAGAAAATCCCACAATATCTGCTTTGAACTGGGTTATCTGAGTCCACACTCAGATAATGTGGGATTTCCTGCCTTGATATTCTGAGATATAGGACTGAGTGGAAGGGCTCTTAGAAACAGCAGCAAACAGAAGTTCTAGCTTACTTCTGAGTAGAAACAGGATCCCATTGATACTGACTGGACAAGTCACCATCTCCCGCTTCAGGGGAAGGCAATGGCAAAAAGTGTGGCTTTTTGTTTGCCGTACGCCAGAAATGACTTGTAGGGACACAACAACTGAAGTCCCACCTTAAGACATAGGATCCCACAGAAGTCAGCTATACTTCCCTTGCAGCAAACTGCACTGAGGAGCTCAAGTTGCCATGTTTCAGCATTTAAAAAAAAGCAGAGAGATGGCATCCCTTTGAGATGCATCATGTTATTCCAGGAGTTTCAGTAGGTGAGTAAAACATGCCTGAAACTTGTGTGTCAAGGGGCCCTTCCACACAGCCATATAGCCCAGAATATCAAGGCAGAATGACCCACAATATCTGCGTTGAACTGGGTTATCTGAGTCCACACTGACATATATCCTAGTTCAAAGCAAATAATGTGGGATTATATTCAGCTGTGTGGAAGGGGCCTAAGTTTCCTACCTAACCAAAAAGTACACAATCCTGCTTCTTCTAATATTAGAGTGCATGCATGCATGAATTGTAAATGGAGTCCAAAATTAATAGACACACACATATAAACAAATACATAAAATTTATTTGGGCAATTCAAATCTCATTTTAGTTTGGGCCATTAATCAGTAATGCTAAGGAGGACGACTCAGTTTTGGCAACCTGCCCCTTGCCCACTTGAATAGTATCAAAACCTAAATGTGGCAATAATAATAAAAAGGCATAACTGCTGGGAAGTGCTTTTTTTTTCCAAATGGAGAAAACCTGGGGTGGAGGCAAGGAGGAGCCTGATGGGCTGAAGACAAACCATGCAGGGGAGAGGGAGGAAGGGAGGCATCAATGCTGATGCAACAGGGCTGCAGGAGCCCAGCACAGCAAAGCCCATGCTCCCTAGGCTGCCTCAGCCCTATGGGAATGGCCAGCCTTTGCACCGGAGGCGCCCCCTCCGCCCTGCTGCAGCAAACAAGGCGAAGGCGATGTTCCCCCAATGCAGGGAATCCTCCCTTAAATGCCCGGATGCGCCGCGTTCGAAGCCTGCTCGAGGCCTGAGGGCCTTACCAGGCTCCCGATGACTTTCACCATCTTGGCGGCAGCAGCAGCCTCTTCCTTCGCCTCTTTCGACTCCTTCTTCGGCGGCTCCGGCGGCTCTTTGCTGGGTCCCGGGTCAGGCTCCGGCTTCGACTCCTCGGTGGCTGCTTTCGGGCTCTCATTGGCGCCGCCTTCCTTCATCTTCTTATATGGACGGGAGGCCCCTCTTTGGGAGGGAGGTTGCTTCTGCGCAGGCGCAAGGGAAGGGGAAGCCCAGGGTGAAGGCGCGCATGCGCAAACCAGGACCTCCTTCTCCCCCCCCCTGTTTTGGAAGGGGCGGGGCTTCTGGGACAGCCTTGGAAAGGGACAGAGAGTGGGAAGCATGATGCAGAAAATACAATTCGTTCCCAGTATTGATTGAGGCAGGGAAACAAGGACAGCAAAACCCTGCGTGGATGGATTGCACTGAGGAATGTCCAGGGTGGGAAAAAGAGCTCTTGTCTGCTTGAAGCAAGGGTGAATGTTGCGTCAAATCCTGGGGTCAGCTGTCACCTCACAACAAAAGATTCTCCTGGGCAGGAAGCAGCCAGGCTTTGAAGCTGCAAGGCCATTAAATGCTAATCAAGGTAGCCAATTGCAATATTCACACCTGCCTCAACCAAACAAGAGTTCTTTCTCCCGCCCTGGACATTCCACAGATATATAAACCTCACTTGCCTAGTTTCCAACAGACCTCACAACCGCTGAGGATGCCTGCCAGTTGTGGGTGAAACGTCAGGAGAGAATGCTTCAGGAACATGGCCATACAAATACAATGATCTTTGTATTGTCGAAGGCTTTCATGGCCGGAATCACTGGGTTGTTGTAGGCTTTTTTGGGCTATATGGCCATGGTCTAGAGGCAATCTCTCCTGACATTTCGCCTGCATCTATGGCAAGCATCCTCAGAGGCAGTGAGGTCTGTTGGAACTAGGAAAAAGGGCTTCTGGGAGTTGGAGGTCCAAACAGCTGGAGGGCCGCAGTTTGAGGATGCCTGCTCTAGATCATGTCCATATAGCCCAAAAAAACCTACAACACCACAATGATCTTTGTTTTGTTTCCTGCAGCAGAGATGGGCAGGAAAACAGGATTGTGATTGGATGGTTGTAAATCTAAATGATGTGGCCCTCCATGTTTCTGAATAAATATCACATTGGGTTTCTGTAAATTTTCCAGGCTATATGGCCATGTTCCAGAAGCATTCTCTCCTGACGTTTCACCCACATCCATGGCAGGCATCCTCAGAGGTTGTGAGGTCTGTTGGAAACTAGGCAAGTGGGGTTTATATATCTGTGGAATGTCCAGGGTGGGAAAAAGAACACTTGCCTGCTTGAGGCAAGTGTGCAATTGGTTTCCTTCCTTAGCACTGAATAGCCTTGCAATGTCAAAGCCTGGCTGCTTCCTGACTGGAGGAATCCTTTGTTATGAGGTATTAGCTGGTCCCAGGATTTAAAGCAACATACACACTTGCCTCCAAAAGACAAGAATTCTTTCTGCCACCCTTGACATTCCACAGATATATAAACTCCACTTGTCTAGTTTCCAACAAACTTCTGAGGATACATGCTATATATGTGGGGGAAGCGTCAGAGGAGAATTCTACTGGAACATGGTCATACAGCCCAGTAAACTCACAACAGCCCAGTGATTCTGGCCATGAAAGCCTTCAAAAACAAATATATCACATTATATTGTTATTATTATTATTATTATTATTATTATTATTATTATTATTATTATTATACTAGGCTCTTAGTTAACTGGCAGGAGCCCTCGGTGGTGCAGTGGGCTAAATCCTTGTGCTGGCAGGACTGAAGACCAACAGGTAGGAGGTTTGAATCTGGAGAGAGCATGGATGAGCTCCCTCTGCCAGCTCCAGCTCCCCATGTGGGGACATGAGAGAAGCCTCCCACAAGGATGATAAAACATCAAAACATCCAGGCATCCCCTGGGCAACATCCTTGCAGACAGTCAATTCTCTCACACCTGACACAAAAAGAAAAGTTAACTGGCACCTATGATGCAGATAAATGCAGTTTCTGGTTGCTTGAGAGTTACTGTTAAAATAGGTTTAAAATTGATTTTATATGACTGGCAGCACGATTAGTGGCAGCATGATTAGCATAATGCCAAGTTTGTAACTTTGTGTTTTTTTATTCATTATAACTGTATTCTCTATTTGCTTCTGACATGATAAATAAATAGCACGATTAGTATAATAATGCTGCAAGTCGCTTCTGGTGTAAGAGAACCAGCCATCTACAAAGATGTCCAGCGGACACCCAGATGTGTTACTATCCTGCGGGGAGGCTTCTCTCATCTGTTTGGATATCAACCAACAAGCCAATGCCTTAAAACAAGAAATAGTTTCCTAATATCTACAGAGATACTTGCAGGAACACCTCAGCAAGCAAGAGTCCAAAAGTGGCAGGCAAAAACCTGGAACCTCACTCAATGGCTGATACCAAACAAGAGACTCCCCTCTGGCCACACGAGACTGGGTGACTTGGAAGGCACTGAACAGACTGCGCTCTGTCACTATGAAATGCAGAGGCAACCTTAAGAAATGGAGTGGAGTGGAGTCTGTGGCATGCGAGTGTGGACAAGAGCAAACTACAGATCATTTACTACAATGTGGCCTGAGCCTTGCCACATGCACAGTGGAGGACCTTCTTACAACCACACCAGAGGCACTTGAAGCGGCCAGCTTCTGGTCAAAGTAAATTTTAACTTTCTTTGTGGTTTTTATATGGATTATAACTGTATTCTCAATTTGCTTCTGACACAATAAATAAATAAAAGTGTAATAATAATAATAATAATAATAATAATATAGAACTGCAAAAACTCTGGCACAAGCCAGTAAAGTTGGTCCTAGTGGCGATTGGCACACTTGGTCCAGTGCCTAAAGACCTTGGCCTGCACTTAAAAACAATCTGACAGAATTACCATCTATCAGCTGCAAAAGGCCACCCTATTTGGATCTGCACACATTATTTGCCGATACATCACACAGTCCTAGACAATTGGGAAGTGTCTGATGTGTGATCAAATATAAAAGCCAGCATAGTAATCTTGTTTGCTGTGTACTAATATTGTTATGTATCAAATAATAATAATAATAATAATAATAATAATAATAATCTTTATTTGTATCTCGCCCCATCTCCTGATACGTGACTCAGAACAGCTAATGTCATAAAAGGCAAGTATTCATAATTTTTTTTGGTGTCAGGAGCTACTTGAGAAACTGCAAGTAGCTTCTGGTGTGAGAGAACTGGCCATCTGCAATGCCCAGGGGACGCCTGGATGTTTTGATGTTTTACCATCCTTGTGGTAGGCTTCTCTCATGTCCCCGCATGGGGAGCTGGAGCTGACAGAGGGAGCTCATCTGCACTCTTCCTAGATTCGAACCTCCAACCTATCAGGCCTCAGTCCTGCTGGCACAAGGGTTTAACCCATTGTGCCACCGGGGGCTCCCAAGTATTCAATGCCAACAAATAAATACATAAATGCATGCATACATAATTTAATAAAACATGTAAAAAACACAGCAGGATTTCAATCATTTAAAAATTGTAATTAAACAATACAACATAGTACCACACTGAACAGTGCAAATGATATTAAAAGCCAAATTCCGAATCCGTTCCCTATTTCTTAACCCTCTGCTTCTCCGAAACATTTTTAGCTGCTTTTTGAAGGAGGGCAACGAGGGGGGCATTTAGATTTCCTTCGGAAGGGAATTCCAGAGGCGGGGGGCAATATATGTTTTCAAGTTTAAAATCACTTGATTTAGGTTACTTTGTGCTCATGACTAAGACACATTGTATTCGACAGAGTTTACTTCCAGCTAAGTGAATAAAGAATAACAAGTTTATCCCTAAATCGAATTCCTCATCCCAATGCGAGCAGGCCCATTTGATCAATTAGATTTGGATAGCAATTGAAAACCACTCATAATGGATTCAGGGCAGTGGTTCTTGAGGTTGTTAATAAACTGAATTTTCCTCGGTCCTAGGTGGATATGGCTCATCTGTAGAAGTATAAATGTCAAAATAAAAGTCAATCAACAGAATTAAAAGCAAATATAGACACAGTACTACAGCAATGAAGGCCCTTTCCCCATGAACAATCAGTCCTTACAGGCCAGAAACAAAAATGTTGAAAAGTCATTAGAGCAGTGGTTCCCAGAAGTTTTGGCCTTCAACTCCCAGAAATACTAACAGCTGGTAAACTGGCTGAGATTTCTGGGAGTTGGCCAAAACACCTGAGGACCCACGGGTTGAGGACCACTGCATTAGAGTAAGACCTTAACAACCTGTTCTAATCAGATTCAAGATCATTCAAAACAAAATGGTTGAAGTTACTCCTTTCTGTTTAAAATGCATGAGGCTGGTTCTGATTAGCAATATGGATCAAGCGGAGTATTTTTTTCTAGAGAGGATGCTACATTAGTACAGTGCGATTTAGCAAAAATAAGAAAAGACTTGTGCATTCTCCTATTTTACTATGGAACACTCGGCATTTTTATTGTTTCTCACATCGTAGGGTGCATCTACACTGAAGAACAAATGCAGTTTGCAACTACTTTAACTTCCAAGCCTCAGTGCTAGGGATTTTGGGATTTGCAATTTGGTCTTCAACCAGCACTCATTGGCAGAGAAGACTAAAGACTTTGCAAAACTGCCACTCCCAAGATTCCATATCATTGAGTCATGGCAATTAAACTGGTGCCAAACTGCAACAATTCTACAGTGCAGATCAAGCATGGGCAAGCTTTCTAACTTGGGGGCCACATGGCAATTCGGAGCAGGGTGGGCGGGCCAGGAGGGAGTGGATTCTCCCCAAGCCCCTTCCCCGTCCTTTCCTCCCCTTCCTCTTCTCTTTTGAAGGGAGAAAGTGAAAGAAAGACAAGAAACGCTTGGATCCCAAAAGGGTTGTTCTTGATCAGGATGAGATGCTGGACGGGAGAGAAAAAGTGTATCCATTAGATCCTGTATTACCTACTCCTGATATAGAATCCTAGAACTGGAAGAGACCCTAAGGGCCACCTAGTCCAATCCCCTGCCATGTAGGAAAGAAGGCACAATGAAAGCACTCCTGATAGACAGCCTCTGCAGAAAAGCCACCAGAGAAGGAGACTCCACCACACAACCTATGCCCCTCTCCTGGAAGTTCTTCCTACTCTTTTCAGTCGAATGTCTTTCCCT